CCCGCGGATCAAATGGAGCATGCATGGTGAGCAAATCATCTTTTCCTCTTTACAAAATTACCCTTCTTTCAAAGACAATTTCCATTGATGTCTCTCCCTCATGAGATGAGACGCCCAACATAATTTGATATAGAAAACCAAATATGATTTCATAATGGAGACTTAATTGAATATATCCATATCCAACAATCCCATAGAAGCAAGCGAAGGTAGAAGAAAGATAGGTTTACATGCAATTTCTCTCTATATTTATGTGTTCCCTCTTTCCATCTCCACTCTCGCACCATATTCACAAATACTTCATATAAATATGTACAATCAAACGCTATCATATTTTGACAAGATAAAAGAACAAATCGAATTTGAAAAAGAGAAACAAGAAATGGTTCAGTCCTCTTAATTCTTGAATCGAAACATCTGTTAATCAGGATCCTAATGCATATAGAAACAAATGGTCCAATGGGAGTAAGAATTTCCAAAAACATTTGAAATATTTTGTTTTCGAACTGAAGAACCGTTTTCAATTGAAGTCATACAAATATAGATAAGGGAGCGTAATATAGACATTGATATGACAGTGATACAATCTCTATTATGTTATAGAGAGTAGGTTGAGATATTACGTACTTGGTTCTTGAGAAAAATTAGAGAAAGCTTCTACCCAAAAGAGAGGAAAAAATATGTAGGAGAGAGAGCATAACAACAAAATTAGAGTGAAGAAAGACTGCTAATAAACAAAAGTTCCATATAATAATGACTTTTTGATTGAGAGAGAGATTATAGGTTTAGGAGAGGGAGAATCCTCTTAGATATGGAAATCAAAGATATTATAGATTTTAGAGAGAGGGAGAAATCCTTTTGGTAGGAGTGTTAATGAACCCAAACAAACTTGGACCTGGCATAGATTGGATTTCAAGTTCAGGTATGAATTCAAATTTTGGACTTGAAAGGTCAGGTCCGGTTTCGACTGGACCCGACTTAGACCTCATCCAAATAATGTAATATTTAAGTAAGAGTAATGATCTTATGAGATCCTACCACACTTATATATATAGGATCTTAAAGGATCACCATTAAATTTGGCACAGATATCTAAAAAAATTATCATATGAGTGGGAGACTTAATTTTTTTAGAGATATATGTCAAATTTAATAGTGATCATTTAAAATCCTATACACATGGGTCCGAAAAGGTCATTTCCCTTTAAGTAATATCTAATATTATTATTTAAAGTTTTTCTCGTTTTAATCTTCCGAAGCAATAATTAGCTATTTAATTGCATGCTACTTCCTCTTTACCCCTCATAAAAACGTGAAGTTAATTGTTTAAACCAAAGCTCAATGAAATGGAAGCACACATCATTTTCCCTTGTGAAGGGCCACATGCCCATGTAACAGGTGTGCTTTCTCTCTCTCTCCATTACTCAATAAAAAAACTTTATTTATTTAGCAAGCAATCATTGCCCATTGCCAACGGCCAAGTGCCCAACATGCAGTTACACCGACCTTCTCTCCCTATTCATCCAATAAAAAAATTTATTATTATTAACCCTTGCTAAGGGCCACGTGCGCAACATGCGTGCTCTCTCTCTCACTCTCTCTCTATTCACCCAATTATTTCACCCAATTTATTTATGTAGCACACAATTATTTCACCGTCCTAAGAGCCACATGCCCTCTCTCTCTCTCTCTCTTCCGGACCCCTTTTTATTTTTTGGGTCTGGGTCCAGTGACTTTGGATCCGGTCGGGTCCGGCCCGACTTATTGCCACCCCTACTTTTTGGATATGGAAATTAGATATGATATGCATCTCTTTTTCTCTCTTTCCCTAACCATACTAGGCATTTTTTTCTACGCATCTCTCTCTTAAATTTTATTTTTCCTATATACACTTACAATAATAAAATAGGTATTTACTATCTCTCTTCCCCTAAACATGGTAAGCATTTTTCTCTTTTAAATTTTATTTACTTGTAAGAAATGGTATGTTCAATGTTCGAGTAGTAAATGGTATCTTATATGTGGTGCATAGTATGTTGTCTAATGCTTAGATAAGGTTTGATTTTATGAAATGAAATTATTGGATTGATTTTAAATAAGGATCAATTTTATACAAAATATAACCGTCCAAAAATATGTCATTTTTAAATTTTATTCTCGTATAGGAAATGGTATGTTTAAATTTTATTCTCGTATAGGAAATGGTATGTTGTTCAATGTTTGTGTAGTAAATGGTATGTTGTATGTGGTGCATGTTATATAAGAAATGGTATGCTGTTTGATGTTCGTGTAGTAAATGGTATGTTGTATGTGCTGCATGGTATGTTGTCTAATGTTTAGATAAGGATGAATTTTATTGTAATAAAGGAAATCCAATGAATGAGATTATTGCATCGATTTTAGATAAGGGAAAGGTTTATATAGAGCCTAAGCTCTAAACAATTAAATTATAGCCTACATCAAAAATTTTATTAGAAGAGGTTGTTTTGATGTTTCAAATTGATCATCTCGACATCAAGATGCATAGATTTGAGAAAAAAATGGATTTCAAGCTTTGGAAATAGTGCATCTTGTAGCATATTTTTGGGCCATCATGTTTTAAGTTATTCAAGTTTTTATAGATTGCTCGATCTATACTAATTTTTGAGCTTTAAATTTTATAATTAAAGATAAAAATATATTTTAAGGAAAAAGATGCTACCTTATAATATAGAACTATGGATCCTCTCAAAAATCCATCAGAAAATGTAGTTTTAATGTTGAAAAAATCTTTGATTGTTCATCTCGTCATCGAGATGTATGACTACAAAAAGTAAAAAGATTTTAAGTCTCAAAAATAGTACATTTTAGAACATATTATCTGCACCGTCCATTTTCAAGACTTTCATATGTTTATAGATCTACTTGATTTTTAACTATTTTTTATATTTAAAATTTTATAATTAGATATAAAAATAGATTTTGAGATAATCTTAATAATATTTTATATCAAAATTATATGTCATGATAAAATTTGGAGGTGCACTTTACCTCTACACCCACGGATGCATCCATATGCAAACTGCACCCATATTTTAATGCAAGTCAAACCACACCTTTTAGATAAAGACCAATTTTATACACAATACGGAAATACAAAAATATGGTTTGTTAAGGTAAGGATCGATTATGCCTCTCTCTCTAACAAATGAATGAAGCAAGTTTTCCATTTTTCGTAGACATGATGACATGATTGTTTATAGGCACTTTAAAATTATTAAAATGCAGATAGTTTATTTGCATTATAAATATGTATTAATTTTTAGTATTAATATATGGGGTGCAGTTTATATAGAGTTGAGGCTCTAAACCATCAAAATAGAGCCTACCTCAAATATTGTCGAAAAATATGGTTTCAACATTGAAAAATTTTGTGAAAGCCTTAAATTATATTTTCATCTTTAGTTATAAATTTAAAGCTTCAAAAATAGTGTAGATCGAGCAGATCTATGAAAACTCAAAAATCTTGAAATTGACGGTCCAAAACTGTGTTACAAGATGCACTAGTTAAAAACTTGAAATCCATTTTTTTTCTCATGTCTATGCATCTTGATGTCGAGATGATCAATTTGATGATATTTAGGCATCAAAAAAACCTCTTCTAGTTAAATTTTTGATGTAGCTCTAATTTGATTGTTTAGAGGCTAAGTTATATATAAACTTTTTCCTAACATATAAGGGATTGTATATAATATGACCATTTACCTTTTGTACAGGAGGTCACAATGTGTTACAAAGTTTGAAAAAATTTCTTTTGAACTTTGAACTTGATCGATGAAATAAATGCAGTCACTCAATTTCACATCCAATGGTCAATATTAATTGTGACCACTTGGACAAAAGCTCGATGGTTTCATTATATACTTTCCTGATATATAATGATATTTTCAAAAGAATGTTATCTTATAATATAAATATACATTAATTTTGTTATTAATACTTATCGATACTTTCAAAAGAATGTTATCATGTGAATATATTGTGAGGAGAAGAAGCATCGTATAAGAGGAAGAACAAACAAATGGAAATGTTTTTCTTTTCAGCATTGAATGATAATTATGTGTTTTTCTATTTTTTTTCTCATCTCTCTGTTTTGCCCGTATTCTCTCTCAATTGATTATTTTCTATAGGGCCTAGGCTTTATGAAAACAATCTGAAGCCTCATCTCAAATATTTATCCGTAAAGCAACTTTTTACAGCAAAAATCCCTACGATGGATCTAAATCAATAAAATTTGAAATTCATAAAATGGTTCAGATATTCTGGATATATGAACACGTAATTTTAGGGTGAAATGGATAACCTAGATAATTTGTAACAATATACATGATTTTTCGTATTTTTAAATCTTTTTTTTTTTTTTTCACAACTAATATGTTCCAATAGGGTGCCGTTTGCGTAGAGCCTAAGCTCTAAACAATCAAATTTGAGCCTACCTTCAAATAGTTTTGAAAAATAAGGTTTTAATATTAAAAATCTTTATGATAGCCCTAAAATATATTTTCATCAAGTTTAAGGTTTAAAAAACAATGTAGATTGACATATCTATGAAAGCTTGAAAATCTTAAAAATTGACAGTCCAAAAATATTTTACAAAATATACTATTTTCAAAACTTGAAATCTATTTTTTTTTCATGTCCATGTATCTTGATATCGAGATGACCAATTTGAGGATATTTGAGCATCAAAACAACCCCTTCTAATGAAATTTTTGAAATCGATTCTAATTTGATTGTTCAGAGCCTCGGCTCTATATAAACTTTTCCAGCTCCAATATTTGAATTGTAATTTTTTTATTAAGTTATATAGATCTTGTAATCTATCTCAAGAGTCGAGACTTCCTATAATCTATATATATAATTTGACGTGGACTGCAAGATATATATACAAGATATATAATCTATATATATAATTTGACGTGGACTGCAAGATATATATACAAGATATATATAGGCCGCTCCCTAAGCGTCAGTGCCCAGAGTGGCAGGGTTTTTGTAGCTTCCAAATATTCACTTTTTCTTTGAAGGGGAGAACGCCGAGAGAAGCAGGGTTTTTGTAGCTTCCAAATATTCACTTTCTTTTAAAGAGAGAAGTAGGGTTTAGGGTTCCTCGAGAAAGAGGGAGATTTTCTTTAATTAGAGAGAAAATTAAGCGGAGAGAGAGATTTTCTTCGGTTAGAGGGAGATTTTCTTTGATTAGAGAGACAATTAAGCAGGGAGAGAATTGAGCAGAGATTTTCTTCGATTAGAGAGAGAATTAAGCAGAGATTTTCTTCGATTAGAGAGCGAATTAAGCAGAGAGAGAAGTTGGGTTAGAGTTTCTCTAGTTACAGAGAAAGGTAGAAAGAAAGAGACCGAGACACGAAAAGGAAGGGTCCTTAAGCTGAATCAGTTGCAGGAAGATGACGGAAGAAACGAAGAAGACGATCTTCTTAAGAAGTAGTGATGAAGAGATATTTGAATTGGCAGAAGACGCTGCCATACAATGTGAAACTATCAAGATCATGATAGAGGATGGGTGCACCACTAGTGAGAAAGGTATCCCACTTCCTAATGTTTCGAGCAAGGTTCTTTCGAAGATAATCGAGTACCTTAATCACCATGTGAATGATGACAAGGTAAAGGGGAAGGAGGGAGACAAGGGAAAGGGGAAGGAGGGAGAGGAGGAGGAAAAGAAGGGTGAGACAGTCCTCACAAAGTGGGATGAGGAGTTTCTCAAGGTTGACATGCAAACCCACTTCGATATCGCACTGGTACAGATACTTTATCTCCTCTTCTTTATTTATTTCTCTTTCATGTTTCCTTTTTGTATTTTCTTTTTTTTTGTTTTCCTGATTATTTACTTGGAATTTTATTTTACCGTCTTGTTTTAGCTTCGCTGATCCATCATCATGGTTCTGTTTTATAGTGTATTTAACCATGTGGTGGTAATTCATGAATTTCTTTGAGTTTGTTATTTTATCTCATGATGGACTGATTTCCCCTTCTTGTATTTTCTTTGGTGGGTTTCTTTCTTTTCTCTTATAGGCCTATCCTTTGCTTTTCCCGTTTCTGCAATGTTGGTTATCTTTTTTTCTTTGATGTAAAATTTCTTATCCGAAACTCTGTTAAAATTTGTTTTGGCTAGCTGTATTTATGCCTTGTTTCTGTTACAACATAAGCAGAGTGTTTTCTTCAATGGGTTGATTCGTGGAAGTATTTTTATTATAATGGTCCTTTTATTATAGTATTTGACTCTCTCTCTTCCTCTCTCTAGTCACAAATTAGGTTTTCTTTCAGATTTTATTTTGTGTTTGTTTTAGTGTTTGCAAGTTGTTTTTATATAGTGGGGTTCTGATGGGACATATGGTGGAGATCAAAGGGAATAATGGATCAATAGCTGTGATTTCATTGGAGCTTTTATGGTTTTTAGTGTTTTAAGTTATTTAAGCCATGGTTTAGGGAGTCGAGGGGAGTCTTTGAACATATATCTCTTATTATTGATTTATTCTGGAGAAGAAAATAAGCTTGTGATGCTTTGGTGATTGACTTCCTTATTTAGTTACTTTGTGCATCAATTTGTATTTGGTGGTTTGATTTTTGCATGCTCTAGTATTTTTATTGAATTATAAGATATTGGGCTTAAGTCAAATGTTGATTAATTTGGAGGGTTATCCACTATCAATTATAAGATATTAGGGCTTGAGTCAAATGTTGATTAATTTGGAGGGTTATGCACTGATTTGAGGGCAGCTTTGGTTGAACTTCTTGTGACTAATGTTTGCACTGCTAGATGATTATTATAGCAAGTTCTTTGCAAACTATTTTTAATTGTTTTTTATTTGTATGATTTAGATATTCACTCTCTTGACATCTTAGTTTGATATTTGCTTGTTTCTTGTCTAACATTGTGAACATTTTATGGGGCTAGTCATTCTTTATATAAATTCATGCTTTTATGGGGCTAGTCGTTCTTTATATAAATTCAAGCTTTTATGGGGCTAGTCATTCTTTATATAAATTCAAGCTTTTATGGGGCTAGTCATTCTTTATATAAATTCAAGCTTTTATGGGGCTAGTCATTCTTTATATAAATTCAAGCTTTTATGGGGCTAGTCATTCTTTATATAAATTCAAGCTTTTGTCCATGCGATGCTTCTTGGTAAAGTGCCCATATGTTGAACTCCTATTTTATCTTATGTATTTGGCAGAAAACTTTTCATTATTTCTCTATCATTGTCAAGTCAACTTGTCATCGTTCCATCTGTCTTAGCTTTCCATGAGATTGAGATTGATCTTGTGATATATATATATATATATATATAGTAGGTTAGTATAAGTCTTGTGTATATATATATATATATATATATATATATGTATA